TCTGCTTGAGCGGGAGTTTAGATGCTCGAGCATGGTTTTCCATCTCTCAGTATTTTGTTCTATAGGTCATCGAACGCTCGAGCGTCCACTTTGACGCCCGAGCGAGGACCATCGTCTGCAAAACTTCTGGAAGTGTGCAATCAATACTCGAGCAGCGCTTTTCACGCTCGAGCGTGAGTCTGTGTCTGACGCTCGAGTGGGGAGTTCCACGCTCGAGCAGACCTATTTTTATATCAGTCCGAATTTCAGCTTTTTGGATCACTTTTTCGACCCATTCTCTCTCTCTACCTTTTCAAAACCCAAACTTGAGAGCTTCTCACTCTAAACTTCATCTTCTCTCTAAGAAATCATCTAGCTCTAGTGATCTCCTACCTTTGGGCCTTTGTAAAAAGTGTGGAGCTTGGTGAGAGCTACATTTTGATCCGAAAATCTTGGGGTTTGAAACACTTTCGAATTTCTCCACCTTCTCCTTTGAGCTCCGAATTTGAGATAGGGATAACTACTCATCCTTATGATCTTTGACATAAACTTTTAGTCATTTTGATTTAATGTTGAAGTTGGGTAATTTTGGGTGTTAGGGTTTCAAAATGTATAAAGAGGGGTTTTGTTTTTTGGGCCAATACATGTGTATTTGGGTCTCAAATAGGGTTATTGTTATTAATTGTTGATATTCGAGCCTTTGTGTCAATGTTGAGAAAAGAGTGAGGAAAGCCCTAATTTTTATTATGAATTAATTTATATGGGAAAGTTATGGAAATATGAAATTGAGTTAGAAATAATGAAATTGGCTTATTATGAGATTGAATGGTGGAGCTGGATTTATTAATCACTCACCTTTGAAAATGGTGATAAATTATCTATTGGTGCATTTATTATCTATTTAGAAATAATTGCTTTGGGCTATCAGTGGAGGATAGTCTTGATTGTTATAGACAATGCATGATGATTAGGCAATCTAAAACTAATCAATTGAATATGTCATTGAATGTGACAGATGGAATAACACATTGAATATGTTCTATGCTTGATCATTTTATTTGATAAGTGTTTAATACATTGTATATGTATGCTATGTGGGAGCAGATAGGGGATGTACTCCACGGTTTGGGAGGAGATAGCGGATGGACTCCTAAACCGGATTTGGGGAGGAGATAGAGGATGGACTCCAGTGATAACGTAGACATATTGGTTGCGTTGAAGCATTATTGATATGAGTTGTTATCTCATTTGAATGGAAGTGTTTAATATGAGTTGTTATCTCATTTGAATTGTTGATAATGGAAATATTGTTGATATGGGCTGTGGTTTCATGGAAACTGTTTGGCCAGGTTCTGAGCCATGTTTATGAATTGAAAACTGGTTAAGTAAAGGATAGAGGAATGAAACATGGACATATTTGTCCTGGCATTGAAACGTGTTATGAGTTGATTTATATGAGTTAAACATTTATCAAATACTAATGTTTTAATTATTACTCATATTATGTTTAGCATATCTCTACTGGGCGTTGGCTCACCCTATATGAGACATCATTTTAAGGTGCAGGTGACATGCCACCTCCAAGGACGTAGCTTGGGAGGCTTAGTGGCTAAGAGACCTTTTGTGATTACCTTTTTTGTATTACATGTATATCAAGCCAATGGGTTATTTTGTGTAAAGAGTTAGAACTCTATTAATGTTGAAACCAAGTGTTGGCTTGGAAAGTTTTAAGCCTATAGGGAATTTACTTTTGTTGTCAACATGTAATATCTCTTATAAGAATACTCTGATGTTGGTAATATGATATCTCTTTCTTGATTCATCAACGTATGATTTTTGGGTTTATTTTGAGGGCGTTACATTTGAAGTTTCGGATTGTAAGGGATTTGTATTTATGCTAGATGTTTTGGATTTGATATTTTAGTTATGTTTAATATGCTTGTTACTTTTGAATTAAGTTTATATTTTAGATGCTTTACACAAGTGTGTTAATTTGTTTTGATTGCATGTATGTGTAGAAATGATGCACAAACGTAAGTTTGGGTTTGGATTATTTTTTTATAGGTTTATGAATTATGTACTGATAGGGAAATTGCAAAAAATATATATATAAATAATGAATTTTTGGTGAAAGATGGTAGGGGTGACCATTGGTTCAATAGTTAAGATTTGGCCTAATAACTTAAAGGTTATGGGTTTAAGTCTTGGAACACCACTCTGTACATTATGCCAAAGGTTAGATTTGTACTCAATCTTTTCCCTCCAAAACACACATTAAAATGTTATATCATCTTTATTTATTTGTATATTTATTTATTATTCACTTATCTATTTATATCACTTATTTTTCACATGTTATTTTTTATTTGCCCACAATGCCCATCTGTTCATATCATCACCACCACTACTGTTGGTTGTTGTCTCTAACCACTTCTAGCGATTGTTTTAATTGTGATCCAATAGTCTGGCTACTAGAGTAAAAATAATTTTAAAAAAGTCCTTCAAAATAATTATTAGTCATTCTTACTAAACAATTTTATTAATTATGTCTTATCATCAAAATAAAATAATTCTTCAATCTAATGCAATAAATACCAAAAGATTTGAATTTTTCACCAAATTTTCCAAGGAAATAAAAGTATTTACTTATTTATTTTTTATAACCAACAATGTTTTTTTTTTTTTTAATGAGATAACTAACAATGTTAAGATCATCAAATTTGATACGAAATTGTGTTATGATCAATTGACCACTGATCGATACAACCCAGGACCAATAGAGTCAGTTGATTAGCAAAGTTTTGAGATAGATTTTATAAAATAATTTTCATGATTCCTAGACTTACTGTTTTACAACTCCCACAACATGAAAGAATAGTATTAGTAGAATATATATCACACAAAAGAATTATTAGCTCATTAAATGTTATGAGTCACTATCGGATTAAACTCCTATATTATGAAACTATAGTTTACTAAGCTAAACCGAAAAAAAAAAAATTACTCAACAAATTTCATTCGTCACGGTTTGATCGAAACACTCTAATCTTATAAAAATGTGAAATACACACATAAACTTAAAAGACTGTAGATAATATTTTACATAATTATTTCTTTTGTTTCCAAATTTTATAACATATGTTCTTCATAAATTTTATGATTTTGAAACCTATTCAAGAATATCAATCAAACAATAAAGTTATGTTCAATATAAAATCGCTAGTTTATGTTTTGAATAACCGTCAACCGATTGAGACAACTCTCAAATGAAAAAGATGAATGGCAAGTTGATTATTAAAATGAGGTTCTTAAACATGGAAATGAATTGAAGAAAAGCCTAGAACAATAGACAATAAGCTATGTATGCAAACTTATAAGACAACAACCAAGCTAATCAATGCACGAACTATTTAAACAACTTAGAACAACACTAAAACAGCCTTCAAGTGATGGAAAACTGTGGCTAAAAATGCATGAAAAGAACCTAAAAAGCTAAACAACAAGGAGAGGAAACAAGGCTAGTAAACAAGAACAAGGAGATGTGGCTAACCCTTCCATTTTTGAAACCTCAAAGCATGGTTTTTAGCCTTTTTTAAACTCTAAAAATCAGTGTAGAGAACAAAGAAAAATAGTGTAAAAGTAAAGGTTTGAGCTATAGGTAAAGGTGTAAAAAGAGAAACTCTCTCTACCCTTTTGGTAGCTCTTCAAACCCAAACTTAAACACCTAGAATAGGATCAAAACAACAAAAAACAATAAGAACTAGGTAGCAAATGAATGAAATGAAAGCAAGAGGGAATATAACAAGCTCATACCTCTCAAGGGAGTAAGCTTTTTGTTTGTGATCAAAGTAAGCTCCAACACACTCTCAAGCTTGAATTATGGTGTTCAAGGCTCAACCAAGGTTCCTAGACCAAGGTATGAAGGTGTGCATGGTGTATGAATATAGGTTCAAGGTGGTAGGTTAACTCAAAGTGTTGCTTGCATAAGAAGAAGGAAAAGAAGGAGCTCTCAAGGTGATATAATGGCTTTCTTGAAATTCTTCAACTCTCAAAATAGAGGTATATGGTCGTTTTATAGAATTTGAGCCAGAAATATCATAAATATCTTCAAAAATGGATAGCTGGCGGCCTCCCGCCTAGAACAGTGTTTCTCACTACTAAGTCCGGCCAACCCTCAATAGCCACGGCCGGCCCTCAATGCATTCCCTTGTTTTTCTATTTCGGCCTCAGCACAAGGTGGCACAATGTGTAAAAATGGATTTCTTGGGTATAATCAGTGGGAATACGGGAGGTTTGGGATTGTTTCAAAGCTTAAACATAGCCCCTTCGTTGAAACCACGAACCACCCACAATACCATTTTCATCATCGAGTGTACCGGCCAAAGCGCTCGAGCCTTGTGAGAGGTCAAAAATGGGGTGTCCACACACTTCCTCTTCATTCTTAGGGTAACTAATTTCATCTATATGTCCTTGCCAAAAAGTAAAAAAAAGTATAGGAGTGCCACATCCCCGTTAAAAAATTTTGATAGCTAAATCATAGAAATATAGAGAGAAAGTTGCAATGGTTAAAGGTGATTACAAACTAAATTTGTGTTTAGATTTTAAATTTGATTGTCACAAAAAGAAAAGAGAGAGACAGAAGGAAATATGAAAAGAAAAATAGTTTACATTTCAATTTTTTAAAGATTTTTTTATCTTCAAAAGGTCTTACTCGAAATTCAAGATCCAGGAAAATATAAACAATTGAGAGGGATAGAAACCCAAACAATTGCCTCTTTTCTTGGTCTTAGGGATTTAGATCCTAACATTTTCCACATGTTAAAGCAAGACAAATATTCTCTCCAATTCGAATTCCAATTCCAATTCTAATTCTAGAGAAAGATATATATACAAAATCAAATCAAAATCACCATAGAAAAATTAACAATGATGATAACAACCCATGACAGATTTGATTCAATCAAAAGCATATCTATATATTCAAAGAAATGATATTATCAAAAAATATAACAATTATGAAACTAACGAATCAAGCCAGTACCATAAACTGGAAATTCCTCACAAAATCTACTATTGTTATTCCTAGTAAATGCCAAGTGATCAACCTCGAACAAATCCGAGCTTGAATCACTAGCCACATCGTCATAGTCGTCTTCATTGCCACTAGCATTTTCATTTCTGAGCACCATAGCATTCTTTGCATACCTTTTCAAAATCTCTCTCGCGGCCGCTGCCTCTTCAATTTTCCTACTCTTTTCCACAAGAACTTGCCAGCGGTTTAGCTCTTCCATCCCATACTTGCCAGGACTATTTCCATATATGCATTTATAGCCGCAAGGACGACCATTTTCATCCACGATCACGCTCACCGGATTGAATGTTACAGTCTTTTTCACACCATTGTTGGGTTTCCCCTTCGAATTCATTGAGGTTCTAGATAAACATAACCTGAAATATGAAGATGGCCATGAACACGTAGATGCCTGAGTGGACTTTGCTTTTCTCTCCACACGTGCATCCCCGTAACCTCTAGTTGATGATGAGCTTGAGTTCTTCGTCTTCTTGGAATTTCCATTACTGAACAGAGTTTAAAAAGCTCAATTTTGAGTTGCTGAAACTCTTTAAAACTCTCAATTTTGACTTTATCAACCCATCTTCATTATTCAAATTCCCCATTTTCTTCGAAACATGAGTAGTCTTCACTGGCTTTGGCCTCTTTGCGGTGAAACAAAAAGTTCTCAATTTCTCGGTCTCGAGGAGACATGCTCGGCAGAGGCTCGCCATGTCTTCGTCCATGACACTACTGCCATGACTTTGTTTCTTGATGACTCTATCATTGTAAAACTTCAATTCGTGGCATTTCTCGTTCCCGCCATCAATGGAACGGTAGATTTTGTTGAGAATACTGGTAGCAAATGTTGGGTACATATATGCATTTTTGTGCATGTCCATTATATATATCAGTTTAAATAACAAAGAGGGGGGAAAAAAGAGAGACAAGACTAGTATATGATGAACAGAATGAAGACGCAAAGAACAAGAGAAAAAGAGTTGGAGATAGGTGTTTTGTGGAAAGAGAAAGTGAAAAAATAAATATGGAGAGAATAATTGACAGAGAAAACAGGCTCTTTGTTTTCAATTATATTAATCCTTACGAGGAGACTCCATTTTATAGGAGTGATTATACAACATTTGCAAGACAATATAATAAAAGGCTACTAGACAACATAATGAAAGGCAACAATCATAATTAAAGGCACAACATATAAAACTAAAAGTAGCCGAAAGGAAATGGCACTAACTAAAGAAAATTGCACTATCTAAGGCATCTGATGACTACTAATGACACAAATATAATATATACATTATATATATTATATATTATTAATAATGAAAAAGAAGCTTGATTTCAAACACTCCCCCTCAAGCGACGTTGTAGATGTTAATCATTCCCAATTTGTCCGTCAGATCTTCAAAGCTAACTCGAGCAAGAGCTTTTGTGAGAATGTTAGCCTTTTGGCTCTTTGTTGGAGTGTAGCTGACTTGAAAAACTCCTTCTTCAATCTTTTCCTTGATAAAGTGTCGATCTATCTCCACGTGTTTAGTTCGATCATGATGAACCGGATTCTTAGCGATACTGATGACGGCTTGGTTGTCGCAGTATAAAACCATGGGATGCTCAGATGGAACCCGTAATTCTTCTAACAGTCTGTTCAACCAGATTCCCTCACAGATACCTAGGGCCATAGCACGAAATTCTGCCTCAGCACTACTACGGGCGACCACTGACTGTTTCTTGCTTCGCCATGTAACCGCGTTCCCCCAAACAAATGAACAATAGCCAGAGGTTGATCTCCGATCAGTTACTGAACCTGCCCAATCTGCGTCTGAAAAAATCTCAATTTTTCTATTTGTTGTTCTTTGGAAGAAGAGACCCTTTCCCGGTGTCTTTTTTAGGTACCTCAATATTCTGGTCACAGCAGTCATGTTTTTTATCTATATATATTATATAAGCAAAAGGAGGTTTTCGTGAGGAATATTGTGGGAATTCCAAAACCTCATAATAAATTTGTAAATTTAATGAATTAAAAAATAAATTTAAATTGGCTAATCCATTAAAGTAATAGTTTTCAAAAGGAAAGATAAAAAAATATTACATATCTCTCCAACCTAATCATCTCCCACTGATTTTTATTTCCTTTAAAAAAAATTAAAACTTTTTTCTTATTATATTACTATATTATTCATACCATATATAATTACTCTCAAATTTTTAAAATTCATAATAAAAATTAAGAACCTTCCAAATATTTTGATTTAATTTACGGAAGGTCAAAGGGTGAGTTTATGGTGCATTCACATGAGTGATTATAGACCAAAAACATTGGAAAAAAAATAATAATGTAAAATCTTATGATATTTCTTAGTAGTGCCTACTACTCATAAATAAAAAATATTTCGAATTTGGAATGTTTTGACCAGATTCATTTTAGTGTGACTTACTAATACACCAAGTTTAAATTTACATAATAAATTCATATTTTAAATATTTCTTTTTGATATTTGTTTTTCTAAGCATAATTTATGAATGATTTTTAGATTGAGAGAATATTGAGTAGAGCGTAGTATGGTTATTCATGTCTAATTCTATGAATCTTGTGCATAGAATGCGACGATTCTGGTTAATTTGCCAATAATGTACCAACTATATATATGCATTGATAATAGTTGAAATTGTTTACAATAATGTTATAAAGGTAATGTTATACCATATGCAATTTATGAAATAATTCAATCATATGAGAGTCATAAGTATTAAAAAAAAAAAATGAGTTATAAACCAATACTACATAAGGTATAAACCTAGAAATGAGTCATAACTAAGGGAGGGATTTTGATGTTTAATTATTAACAACTTCTACAATCAATATTTAAATAGAAAGACTGTGATAGGTATACAATTGGCAATTCCAGATCACCTCAGATTTTTATTTTTTTTAAGGGGCATTTACGCACAAGTCTTAATTTATGAACTTATACTCTATTAAGTCCTAACTAAGATTTTTTTAACCTCAAGTCCCATTAAATTCTTAATAGTCTAAGTTGCCCTTTCAAACAATGGTTGTTTATCATTTATGATTATTTCTAAAAAAAAATGATAATTTGACATTTATTTTGATTTTAAAAACTTTAAGATATCAACTTTTAAATTGAAAAAACTAAAAAAAAAATTATGTGCAAAAACAAAAATAATAATAATAATTTTTTTTGAAAAAATTGAATTTTTTTTTTATACAAAACTGAAAATTTTGTGTCTATAAAGGACCTTGATGATGAAACATTGATGTGCAAAACTGAAAAGAAAAAAAAAACTTTAAAAATGAAAAAATTGATAATGTTATCAGTTTTAAAACTAGAAATGTGACACTCCAAATTTTTGGAATATCAAGGGAAATTAAATAAACAAAATGACTTAATAAATTAAAAAGTTGACATGTTAATAGGACATTCCAACTCTCGTACATAACCTAAGGTTCAAACAACATTAAATAAAAACTTAAAATTATCCAAATACAACATCAAATGAAATTATAAAGTCCTTAATAGCTAATACATAAGATAATAAAATTTATTCAGCTCTAATCATGGTTTCAAGTCAGCCAAAGCTCTACGTTAGCGTCAATTCCATTTCAGCTTCAATTATTTCCTCGCCAAAACCTGGCATAAAGCGTCAGGACAATAAAGTATATGCCATGAGTTTCACAACACAGTAAGAAAACACAGCAAACCTACCTTTCTTTTTAAAAGAAAAATAATGGGATTATAAGTATGAGATAACAATATAATTGTAAATATAAATTACAATCATTAAAATAATTTCAATAATTTTAATAAACTAGGTAACACTCAAAATCTCCCCAAAGAGATTTAACTTACCAATCACTAAGCCATGGTCACGGTTAATTTGAGACCCTCCCTTGGTCAAATATTCAAGTGTTATCAACTGTAACTACCAGGGATGCCCACATTCGAAGTTATATACCCAAGTAGTGGCATCCATGGTCTACCCCAAGGAAACGATCTGCAAGGGATACATAATCTCCCTACGTGCCCCCTGTACATCCACCCTTATTCCAAAATCGAATACCGAAAAGGGTTCAAATAAGTCTAGTGCCATCTTACCGTTTCTCAATACAATTTACATAAGAATTCTCAAAACTAGGGCTCACATTGAACAACCGATATTAACCGTCAACCTTTAATTTCATACACTCTTTAAAATCAGGACTCACCCTGAACAACCGGTATTAACCGTCAACCGTTAATTTCATACACTTCGTTGATCATTTTAATTAAATTTCATACTAATCACTAATAATTAATAATTAGATCACAATCGATATTATACAATTTTAACAGAAAATATCAACACATATATTCTACAACAATCCATCAATGTTTATAAATTATTGTGAACAGTTTAATCAAGCTATGGTGTGAAATAATAATTTTAAATACTAAAATAAATCACACATGCATGAACTACTAATTTACAAGTTCAATTAAATAGTGTGATACCCCTGTTCCGTAATATGTTAATCGGTCCTTAATATGATGTGATTATGCGTTTTACTATAATTTTGTGTTCCATTATGTGAAAATATGTGGTTTTGAATTTCTACCTGTTCATCGTAGGAATATCTGTTTGATTTCTCCGCTTTGGAGATTAAATTGAGGGCCTTATCGGCCACAGAACCCGAAATTGATTGCGCAATTGTGATTGGCGTAATTTTTAGAGCCTACGGTGGAATTTAATTGAAAATTGATTTGGGTAAGATTAAATCGATTAAATTGATGAATTAAGTACCCAAATATTTTATAATGAAATAATGTGTTGAGTGGGGCTAAATAGGGGCCTTATTATAATCAATTCCTCACCCTTATATCATTTTGGCTGATGCTAACTCAAGAGAGAAAGGGGAGGGTCGGCCTTAGAGAGAGAGAGGGAGAGGATTGTGTAGCTTTGGCTCAAAGCTTGGAAATCTTGAAGATTAAGTCCAAGAATTGACTAGAGTTTGGAAGATTAAGCTCCTTGGTGAGTAATTCATGTATTTTAGTTATCATCTTGTGAATTCAAGTTTGAAGGAGGGTCAAGAACATGGATTAGTTTGATCATAAGGAAATTGAGTTGAATTTGTTGTAATGAAGACCCATATGTGCATGCATGTGTGTAATTGCTTTGAATATGGCATGTTTGAGCTCAAAGGGTATGATCCTTGTAAACTTGTAGTTGAAGCTCATGTTTTGATTACCTTTGCATCATCTAAGTTGAGAGTAAGGGTTATATAGCACATGCATGTACAATTCATGAGAATATGAGCTTGAATGCATGAATTTGTTATGTTAGAATGAGTTTGATGGGAGATTGGGGCATTCATGTGATTTATTTGTGAAATTAAGCTTCATTGGGTTGTAATTTGGGGTTTATACCATGTTAGTATAATTATATTTGAGATTTGAGCCATTGCATGCAAGAAATGTTAGCTTGAAGGTCGAATTGAGCTCAAGAACACAATCAGGGAAACCCAGAATTTTGATGTCCGCTCGAGCGGGGTAATGGCCGCTCAAGCGGGAAAAACGTGCTCCCAGTACTTTTTACAGACTTGGTGTGCGCTCGTGCGGGTTAGTTCACGCTCGAGCGAGGAAGCAACGCAGACAGGCCTTCCACTTGAGCGCCCTATTTCACGCTTGAGCATATTTTTCATGCAACCAGTACTTTTGCAGGCCTTAAAAGTCCGCTCAAGCGGTGGAGTTCACGCTCGAGCGGGAACCCTATTTTCTGAAATTTTGTTTTTGCATTCAGTGTTTCGTTTTCCGTTCTCTTTCACTTACAAGCACTCTTAGGCATGTGTTAAGCATTGTAAATG